CAGGGGGACAGGTGGAGGGACAGGGGGGACACGCAAGGGACACGCGGTGTGACGTGGGGGACATTGTGGAGGGAATGGGGGACACGTGAGGGACAGGCGGTCTGACATAGGGGACACATGGAGGGACAGGGGGACACGGGGGGGGGCGGGGGGGCACGCAAGGAACACGCAGTGTGACATAGGGGACACGTGGAGGGACGGGGGACACGTGGAGGGACAGGCGGTGTGACATAGGGGACACATGGAGGGACAGGGGGACACATGGAGGGACAGGGGGGACACGCAAGGGACACGCGGTGTGACGTGGGGGACATGTGGAGGGACATGGGGGACACGTGAGGGACATGCGGTCTGACATAGGGGACACATGGAGGGACATGGGGACACATGGAGGGACATGGTCTGACATAGGGGACACATGGAGGGACAGGGGGACACGTGGAGGGACAGGGGGGACACGCAAGGGACACGCGGTGTGACGTGGGGGACATGTGGAGGGACATGGGGGACACGTGAGGGACATGCGGTCTGACATAGGGGACACATGGAGGGACATGGGGACATGTGAGGGACAGGCGGCGTGAGATAGGGGACACGTGGAGGGACATGGGAGACATGGGGAGGGACACAGTGTGACGTGGGGGACACGTGGAAGGACATGGGGGACACGCAGAGAGACGGGGTGTGACGGGACACGTGCAGGGTCATGGGGGACACGCGAGGGACATGCGGTGTGACATAGGGGACACGCGGAGGGACATGGGGGACACAGAGGGACACACAGAGATGGGGACATTCAAAGTGACACAGGGACACACATGCAGTGACACGGGGACATTTGGAGTGAGATGGGGACATGGGGGGACACGTGGTGTGACGTGGGGACATGCAAGGGACAGGCAGTGTGATGTGGGGGACATGCAGAGGGACATGGGGGACATTGGGAGTGACACGGGGACATGGGAGGACACGTGAAGGGACATGGGGGACATTGGGAGTGACACGGGGGAGATAAACGGGAGACACGGGGACACGGAGGTGGGGACACGATGACATATGGGGACATGAGGGGACTTTGAGAGACCCGAGGACACGCGGGGGACGTGGTGGGGACACAAGGGGACACCAAGGGGATGTGGAGGGACCGGGGGACACACA